CAACTCAGGCTGCACCAACCAAGACCGACACCACACCTGTTCCCGGTGTTCGACCATCGCCTCTGGATGGGAGACCGACGACTTCCTCCGGAACAGCATCTTTGGACAATGTATTGGCCGGCCATTCTGGTATACCTCTTGGCACCTCACTTCTCATTGGAGAGCATGGAACCACGGATTTTGCTGGCATACTGCTTCGCTACTATGTAGCCGAGGGTTTGGTTCAAGGCCATCAAGTTCACGTACTTGGCCTACGTGAAGGCTGGCGAGCCGAGCTGCCAGGCCTTTCCACCGACCATAGTTCTTCCAGCAAGCCAGAAGCGTCTTCAGGAGATAAAATGAAAATTGCTTGGAGATATGAGAGTCTAGGCTCCGCAGGGGCAGCGAGAGGTATGCTATATGCCGGCCAACTCTCCCTCTGACAATCCAGAATCAACTTACACGTCCATTAGATAGGGAAGCACAGCGGGCTCAGGGCGCATCAAACACCGGTGCTACTACAACGTTCTGCCACACATTTGATCTTACAAAGCGGTTAGCCCCTGGTGACGTGAAGGGTCAGGTTGGCTTCCACCAATCCATGGCTCTTCCAAGCCCTGGAGCTCAACCTATTTCTGCATTCAAGCTCTTCGTCAAAGACTTGTCACTCAAGCTGGCAAACTCTCCGCCCTCATCAGTTCATCGTGTAATAGTCCCCAACCTCCTATCTCCGACTATGTACTCGAGCTCGTCTTCTCTTCCTCAAGAGGTGCTTCAATTTTTGCACGCCCTGAGGGCTTTATTGAGACAATATCCCAAGGCTTTAAGTGTAATTTTGACACTACCTCTGTCCCTTTATCCTCGGACAACGGGCCTCACTCGGTGGATAGAATTGCTGTGTGATGGTGTGCTTGAGTTCATACCACTGCAATCTACGAGTATTCATAAGCCTCCATCATCATCAAAAGGTGAGGGGAAAGACGATGAGAAGGTTCAAGGCTTGATTAAAGTTCACAGTCTACCAATTTACCATGAGAAAGGAGGCGGGTCACACTCAGCACTAGATGACCAGTCCTTCAGCCTTAGCCGGTCCAAGGGACTACTGATCAAGCCTTTTTATCTTCCACCAGCTGACATTGACGAGAATGAACCCAAGTCAGAAGATGCCGGGAAGCCAAGTATGGATTTTTGAGACTACTTGCCTCAACTTGGATAGGGGCTCATATATGCAATAGTCGCATGATATGAATTATGCAATATCATATGCACTAGACCTTGAGCTAACCATGGTCGGTCCCCACTATCGCTCGTCTCCAAAACCTTTCTCCAAATCTCATTCCGAATCTGATTTTTTCCACATTCATACCACAACAATAGGTAAGTCAACAAAATAATTCTTGCACTTTTCCCTACAATGATTATACCCATCAATCTGTCAATCCACTGAATAACATTTTCTGTTGATAACACCTATATCTGGTTTTATGATTGTACATCTATTGCTCTTTCATACTATCGCAAATATTGAGAGAATATATCGACTGACTCATTCTCAGACAGCGCAAGTGCCAACGTGACAATGGCTTCCGCCTCATCTCGTGACCCGCCTCTACTGAGGATAGCAAAGGTCGCCGGAAGATATTTGCTCTTCGACATAGACGACGTGATGTATATACGCAGAAACTACAATATCTGCTCCGTCTTCGTAGGGACAATCCCCCAGAATCCTCAGCAGAATCTTTTTATGGGACTACCCTTAGAGCTCATGCCTGAAGAAGCGCAAGTTCTGGTCGAGAAGAAGGTAGCCTATGTTGCTGACGACATAACGTTCCACCCAGCCCGACTGGCGACATTCGATGAGTCGTCACGACGGGCTTACGTACAATCGCTTAAGAATCAGGGTAAGAGGATGCAGATGGCTGTGATCGAGAGCAACCGCAATATTTATAATTCGCAAGAGAAATCCAAAAAGAAAAAAAAGAAAGAGCCAAAGGATTCAGAAGACTCGTCCATAGGTGATCATCTCAGTGGTGGCAACGAGGTAGATGAGAACTCGGGTCTCTTTGACCGGGCACCTACACCAAACAAGCAACCCGACAAATCACCTGATGATGTTGAGGGTTACGCACTCACACCGACTACTAGCCGCTTTCTCTTGTCAGATTCAGAGCTAGAGCCTTCAGTTGCCGTAGATGTACCTGTGTCTTATCCCTTATTTGCGCACCTGCACGATAAAGGGTACTATATGATGCCGGGCCTCCGCTTTGGCTGCGACTATAATATATATCCTGGCGATCCTCTGCGCTTCCACAGCCATTTTGCCGGCGTCCACTTTGGCTGGGATGAAGAAATTACAATGATGGATCTTGTGGTAGGCGGGCGACTAGCTACTACTGTCAAGAAGGGATATCTCTTTGGTGGCGCTGTAAATAGCGAGTCCACTGTGGAAAAAGCTAGCGACGGGGAGGTTAAATCGGTTGTCAAACACAATGAACAGCCGAAGCCTAACGGCAGCCCAGTAGCGCCACCAGTCAGGACGTTTTGTCTAGAATGGGCAGGCATGTAGTGACGAGAGATCGTGTTAGTCTATAGGGGAATGCCAACTACCAAACTTGATGGGAATTTGTCGAGTACGACGTATTTTTGTTCGGTGAAGTCAATCGCTTATTCTAGATAAATAGTAGACAGTCCATCCTCGTGGCGCATTATTCAGTTACTTCGCATCGTTCACCGTTCCAGTATAGTCGAACCCTGTGTTCAAAATATCATGTGGCGCATCCATAACGTGTCAGGAGAGTTCCACTAATGCCTGTCTGACTTGCGCACAGGGTTAACGTTTAGGTAGGATCTCAAAGCTAATACTTGCTGTTTATTGACTTCAGGTAGGTAGGGAGTCATCTGAACTTATCTAGGCCATAGCATTTTGATTTATATGCATCCAGTTTGTCAGTCGCCGAATTTCCCGCTGATCGGTTGGAATGTTAAGATTGCAACACAGCGATCTGATTCGCTACCGAATCAGAGGCAAATGCGCAATCGTCCCTTGTTGAAGGTTACAAGGGTCTTGACACGAGATACGACGTCATTGCTAACGTCGGCTAGCAACCCCAACACTTGTCACCGATCTCATCATTTATTTCCAAGATTAAGTTTTCAGGTCGAGATCTCTGCAGAATATCTATTTTCTCACCCCTTTCCCTTTCAATGTAGCGAATTGCTTGAAAATGACTAAAGATAATAAGAGCACAGCGGAAGTCGACACCGCCGAAGTCGTGTCCATCCACGACATTGGACCGCCGCCTCTCGAGGAAGACTACGTGAACCCTGCAGACAAAAGTCCCCGTTGGCTTCTAGGCGCACACGCTTTCGCCCTCCGGTATTTGGCTGGCATTGGATTCAAACTAGGTAATCGCTCAGGTACAGCCCCGGCAGCGCCTACGGAAACCATTTGGCTAGACTCTACTCTGGGTGAATGGAAAGGCAAAGCGACTATCAGTGTAAACGTATGGATCCCGCCGAATAACTCGCAGCAATCTGGGGCAGCGAGGAGACCGGCTGTAATCAACTTCCATGGAGGCGGGTTCATCCTCGGTCAGGGAACCGATGATGCACGATGGGCTGACGCGCTCGTTCACAACCTGGGCGCCGTGGTCTTCTCGGTTAACTACCGCCTCGCTCCAGGCTATCCATTCCCAGCGCCAGTAGAGGATGGCGTCGACGCTATTGTCCAGATACATCAGCTTGCAGATCGATACAATATCGACATAAATCGCATCACACTATCCGGGTTCTCTGCCGGCGCGACGCTGGCTACGAGTAGCTGGGTCATTTTACAAGACCCCAAGAGATGGGACTACGAGATAACAGCACCCCTGCCCCAAATCGCCGGGCTTGTCCTTTACTACCCTCCGCTCGACTGGACATTAGACCGACCACAGAAGCGCAAGGCTTGCAAACGGCCAGATATGACGCTGCCTAGCAACTTGACAGATCTGATCGATGCGTCGTACCTACACCCTCCGCTTCCACGGCGCGAAAGAACCGACATACGGCTGTCACCAGGGCTCATGCCGGATGAGTTGATAGACCGCCTACCGCCTGTCCATCTGTGCCTCTGCGAATACGATATGCTCCTCGCTGAGGGCAGGTTGTTCGCGGAGCGCCTCGAAGGCCGCGGGAGGCAGGTCAGCGTCCGGGTAGTCGAGGGCGAGAAGCATGCCTGGGATAAACCCCTGCCTTTGGGCCCAAAGGACACTGTCATGTTTGAATACGATATTTCAATAGCTGCCATCAAGAGCTGGATTGAAAAGTTATAAGAACGAACTACCTAGGTTATGTTTCACAAAAGCCATAGTCCCTGTCGATGAAGAATACATAAAACGAATGCAACCTCCGACGACTTAGGGACTTTACGAAGACAGGGTCATATCGGATAAGGCCACTTTAGGGTATGATGATACCGCTTACGGTATGACTACAAGGATACCATAGTGTTACTACTGAGTCATAGTGGAGGATGGGCGAAGTATGAACATTCCCGACACTCATGATCCGGATCATGATCCTCTATCCCTAAGGGGCGGGCCCTTCAACATAATACATGTTGCGAATAACCATCTCCAGTATTTGAGGGCACTTGCGATGAAAAGGTCTGCCCTGATCTCGCCAGGAATGACTCGGCTTAGATGTCTGCTCTATGGGCATATCACTCGGTCGCCTTTCAGGGAATTTTCAGTTGGGAATATAAAGGGGCCTCAGAAGCGCAACAAAGAGAGAATTTAGAAGAAGTATACTGATAGGACTTCGCGCAAGATGTAAGAATTGGAGTAGAGGAGGGGCTAGATGTCGAATACCCAGAGATTCTTGTTAAGACAGCACGATACCACTTGAATAGAAAGATGCTTTCGTATATTTCCCGAGGCTTGATGGAGGGCGTAGCGTATAGAAATGCTAGCAAGGAAAGAGTAACCAGCCTAGACAGTACATACAGACAAAAAAACATGGAAGGTGTGCAAGCAAAAAGCTGTGGCCCGGGTTCGAACCGGGGACTCAGGAACTTTTTATGAGAGGTCTCTCGTCAAAATCCCACGTGCTAACCACTACACTACCTCAGCGAAGTTGTTCGTATTTGTCTGCTGATCGACGCGACACGCAATGCCGACTTATCAACGGTCTAGGGAATCTTCTAGGAAGCCAAACTCAACCGTAACAGGCAGTACACTGGTACATGTCTTTCGATCCCCTTTTGCCTCCCCTATTCTAAGGGCAGTGGAATAGTCTTTGTTCCGTAACGAGACTAGGAGAAGTCGATTCGCCCTGCGGACGGAGGAAAAGGAGGCGTTTTCAATTTTGAAAAGTATCTAGTATCGTGCTGTTGTAGGAAGACCACATTACTTATACATAGTTTCATCCAAGAAAAACTAGACGTTTTTTAAGCATAGAAGCATCACAGTATATCCTCTCAAGAAGCTATAACATTATACAAAACCACTTCTTCTCGTATTATGTTTGATAGGTATCTATCCGGGCGTTCGGCGTTTTATTCTAAGCTCGGCGGGGCAGGTAGAGCGCGGGAAAAGGGCCTGGCGGGGTTCGATTGAGGAGATACACTCCCTAAACTCGCTACCCACAGCATCCACCTCACGTCCCGCGATGGCGACATTGTACATTCACTCATCTTAGCTCCGATATCGAATGCACAATATCGGGCCTCCAGAGAGATAGAAGTGACTAATACGAGGGCAAAAGTTGGAGATAAAAACTATTGCCATCTTCCCCCTACTCTATTATTTATTTCCGTCGTGAATTGTGAGTAAGCACGGGTTAGCAAGGTCGCAATCCCATCGCATCCCCATCCCGCTCATCCATTCGTTCTATATGCCCCTCCTCCACCGCACCACAACCTCACTCCATCAAACGCTCCGCACGCTTCTTCTCTCCAGCCGCCATCGCCCATCACCCGCAGCAGCAGCAGCAGCAGGGTCCATCTCACACCTCTTTCCCCAAAACCTCTTCTTCACTCCAGTGACCGCGTCGCGCACCATGTCGTCGGCAGTAGCGAAGCGCCTCGCGGGCAAGACGGTGCTGATCACGGGCGCGTCGTCGGGCATCGGGCGCAGCACGGCCTTCGAGTTCGCGCGGACGGCCGCGCCCGCGGGGGGCCTGAAGCTCGTGCTCACGGCGCGCCGCGTCGACGCCCTGAAGCAGGTCGCCGCCGACATCGCCGCCGAGGTCGGCGACGGCGCCGTCAAGGTCCTGCCTGTCCAGCTCGACGTCAGCAAGCCTGAGGAGGTGCGCGGCTTCGTCGATAAGCTGCCTGAGGAGTTCAAGGCGATCGATGTGCTTGTGAATAATGCGTGAGTCCTTATCTCCTTGCCTTTTTCTTTCCTATCTGCTCTTTACCAGGAATTGTTACCTAGAGCCGGGGGGCATGTATTCCGACCAAGCAGGGAATAGCTAGAATGTGCACGACATGAAAGAACCACAGCTAACTTTTCCACCCAGCGGTCTCGTCAAGGGCGTAGCCAGGGCGCCGGGGATCGCCGAGGAGGACGTGAACGTCATGTTCAGCACCAACGTGACGGGCCTGATCAACATGACGCAGGCGATCCTGCCCATCTTCCTGCGCCGCCCCAACGGCGGCAGCGGCGACATCATCAACATCGGCAGCGTCGCCGGCCGCGAGCCCTACGCCGGCGGCGGCATCTACTGCGCCACCAAGGCCGCCGTGCGCAGCTTCACCGACTCCCTGCGCCAGGAACTCGTCGCCTCGCGCATCCGCGTCTTGCAGGTCGACCCCGGTCAGGTTGAGACCGTACGTACCTTTTCAATCTGCGAATATTTTCTAAGATTACGGGAAGTGGTAGAAAGGCATATGCTGATCTTGATGTAGGAGTTCTCAGTTGTTCGGTTCTACGGTGACAAGGCTAAGGCTGATGCTGTATATGCGTAAGTTTTGCTATTATCCGTGGATTAGGTCTTTCTATTGCTAATAACACCTTCTAGCGGCGTTGACCCTTTGACCCCCGATGATATTGCCGAGGTTATTGTCTTCGTTGCTGGCAGGAGAGAAAACGTCGTGGTTGCTGACACTCTCATCTTCCATAACCACCAGGCCGCTGCCGGACTTGTACATAAAAAGTCATAGAAGACATATTGCACGCAAATATATTCATTTAATAGATACTAGATAAATAGACGGCTCTCGCGGAGACATCGATGCTCAATAATGCGTGTCTACGAGATATTTACCGTTGATGACGGGATCCAGCATTTACACCTACAGCATGATCTTACCTATGTGGTAGTTTCAAGGAGAACCTAATACAGACAGGTTAGCAGAGATCACATTGCTTGCTCTGTTGGAAACATGATGTGATAGCTTTAATTCAGCGAACCGTTTTACTCATTCACATGTGTCGGCTCTCCACTTCCGCACCTCAAGACGAGACGCGGAGATGGAAAACACGGAAGCCAACATAACACCGCTAACCACTCCAGCACGAGGCTCAAGTAGTCAATAAGAAACTCCACAACCAATCATCACCAACCCAGAAGGGCTGACTCCGGTGCGGGAGGGTGGCTCGACCCATTGTGAGATAGTTGAATGGATAAACAGTTTTCATCATGATAGAAAAATACAAGCGAAGTGAAAATGGCTTACCAGTCCTAGATCCTAGTAGGATATTGGGTGTAAAAGGGATGTACAATGGAATCTAAGTAAACCCGAGCAATGGTTAGCTAATTGCCTCATCGCGAAGGGTGTTTTGACGAATTTGAGAAGAGTTTTGGATCAGAGTAAGTTTTTGGTATATGGGTATCTTCATTTTGTTCAGAAGCAGAACTGAATGATTTAGGTCTCATCATAGAAAAGGGGAAAAGAGTAGAAAAGCAAGGTGTCGAACATGATAACTCACCTACTAGGAAAATATAGGAGCCGGAGAATATAGCATTTAATGTGTTCGCTATGTTACTAATGCCATGGTTAGTTGTTGTTTCGGAAATCTAGTTCCAGCAAGACGCAAGCGATTTGATGCTTCAGATGGTAGTGCATGTTTAGTTCAGTTCGCTCAGGAGATCGCGAGAACAGTGGATAAGAATTCATCAATAGCGATGGGGGGGAAAGGGAGAAAGAAGAATGGTTACGAGGCAGAATGCCAAGTGACAGCTTTTTGCTTACCTGTATTGCTACCGTAGTTCTTCCAGATCAAGACCAAATTTCCATGAGCCGCGTGCAATCCGAAGTATTGCCACAATGAAATTATTGAGATCATAAACGGATTTACCCAGTAGTTTCCATCGCTTTGGACCTCGAAGCACTGCTCTAGGATGTTTGATGCCGGACCTTACATAAAGGCAGTGTGATGGAGAGTGAAGGGAATGAGGTTGCAAAATTCTGTAAAATCAAATTTAAGGCTGGCTGGTAGTGGAGCCTGAGACTGGGATTGGGTGCTAGCGGGGCAATCGATAAGGTCGGCCGGCAGGTGGGTTCCGATTTCTCTATGCAAGCTTCCCGGCTCAGTACCCATAGCTTTAAATCCAATGTGAAAGCTAGGAACCAATTCATGTGATCTATATTTACAAGAAACCCCTAGATTCAGGTCACAATGGCTGACCGGAGAAGGATAAATGGCCCTGTCGGCGTCACTCTCCCCCCAGTCTACGACAGTTTTCCTCCATCGCGAGGGACCACAGAGAAATCTGAAAATGCCATTCGCAAAATCTGTACGTATCAAGCTATACCAAGGCTGTCTCGTTCGCTAACCTTCCATGCGTAGTTTTGAAGACGGGCGTGACCCCCTCGGCCTCTGGATCTGCCTATCTAGAGCTTGAGAACCCCAATGCGACTAGCCCTGGCAACACAGGCCTGAAATTAACGTGTACCGTCCACGGCCCACGAGCTCTCCCACGATCCGCGCCCTTCTCCCCTCACATTATTCTCACGACACACGTGAAATACGCGCCATTTGCGACGAAACAACGGCGCGGCTACTTGCGAGACTCGAGCGAGAAGGATCTTGGCGTACACTTAGAGACTGCGCTGCGAGGCGCTATCATCGCAGACCGCTGGCCCAAGAGCGGTGTTGACATTATAGTCACGATAATAGAGGGCGACCAGGATCGCAATGCGCCCGAGAACCAACGTGACGACGGCTGGGATACAATGAATGTGCTGGGCGGCTGCATCACGGTGGCCTCGGCGGCGATCGCGGATGCGGGCATTGATTGCGTCGACACCGTCGCCGGAGGCGTCGCAGCGCTGGTGGCCAAAGACGCAAAAAGCCCGCCGTCCATCGTCCTCGACCCGGCCGTTGGCGACTACCACAAGATCTACGCGGCTTGCTGCATTGCTTACCTCCCGACACGAGATGAGGTCACAAACGTGTGGTTCAGGGGCCAGCTGCCCGGCGCCGATGTCATGATGTATAATAATATGGTTGAGCGATGCTTGGTTGCCTGTCGTAACGCTAACTGCGTTGTCGTTGAGGCTCTAAAGAAGACTGCTAACGTTTAGCAAGAGGTATCATGAGCTTGCTTACCATAGCCGGCAAACGGCTATTTGAACCTAGCAAAATTACCGTACGAGTACAGCCTCGATGGCTTCCTACTATGAAGGCGAATAAGCCCAATGCATGTGGAAATCGAGTCACATTTACGGCAGGCGAACGCCCGAGACCGGTATCAGCGGCATCAAACATGATACATAGGGCACATTCGGTTGTGCAGTAAATCCAAGGATGGTGTTTATTGGACGCTATCTTTGGTGAGGACTAAGTGATAAGTGGCCTTGGTGAAACTGAGCAGAGGGCTACCACTTCGAGCCGTTTGATGAGGTTGTAGTGTGAGGTGCTAGCTGGTAAAGGCTTCATCATGAGTAGATATTAGTTAGGCTGACTGGCTCGAGAGCATGTGAATTCGGTGTACAGCCTTGAAAGGACCTTGATCTGCAGACTACTACAGAAGTACCTAGGATCTAGGATCTAGGGCGAATCACAAGCTAATCCTAAACAGAAGGATATGCAACGTGACGAGTTACCCGAACATAACTGTGTGTCTTAATATAGTAAATTTGTAAATTGATGTTTAGATAATTAAAGATTAAATAGGCATTCAC